CTTATACTTGTGTGTGTTTCTATCTCCATCATTGGGATGTAAGCTCTAAGAGCCACATGGAATTTGTCTCATTTAGAGTGGTCTCCCCAGTTCCCACAACAGAAGCTTGGCATTTGACCAGTGCTTAATAGTTTTAAATGAATGAAGGATTTGAGTATAATATGTTGATCACATAAATCAAATATAAAAATATCATTGTTTTATATAGGTAGGCCTCATACTATCCATGTTTCTTTCTGTACATAGAACTGACAAACAGGAATAATCCCCCCAGATTCTCACACTATTTATGTTTTTAGATAAAGAATTATGTGGTATGATAAATGCACCAAAGATAAGTTTAGTTCCAACGACGAAAGAGTATGAGTTTGAAGAGCCCGTAAGTTTTTCACCTCAGTATACCATATACAGTTCAGGAAATCAATTAAAGGCTTACTTCAGTTTTTCTATATACATTTTTAATGATTAGAAACAATCAACTATGCAGTTAGAATTGCAGCTACTGGGGTCTGAAAAAGCCAGTTAATAAAAATGAAATTCATACTGAGCTGTCATAATAGGATGTTTGTCTTACTCACTGAAGGTTTTAAGAGCTCCAAACTATATGTGACCAGTGACATGCATGTACAAGACCTCAAGTCCGAGTCTGGGACAAGTGCAGCCAAATCACAAAGCAAACCTAATTATGTCGTTTACTTGGGGCTCATACCCATGTCATTTGTCCCATCAGCACTATGCCTTCAGCAAGTGAGACCATGATGACGTGGTCAGAACAAGAGAGTAACAACTGTGAAACAAGTCATAGTAGAAATGGAGGTCTTGAAAGGCTCCATGACTTGCCTTAGGTCACAGAATAAGTTAGCTGCAGAGCACAAACTCAGTTCTCCAGATTTTCAATGTTGCATGTGGTCATAAAGCTCTTGCATAAATATTTGAACATACATCCATTCAGTTTTTAGCTCATAAATTATATAGCACAAATAAAGCAAGTTTTAATACAACAAAATGAATTATTTAAATAATATGCCCTATGTATCAGTTATCCCACTTAACATGGCAACTGAGCTCTACTGAATTACTTTGATGTATAATAACAATAATAGCAAACATTTTAGGGTTTACTGTATGTCAAGCATTGTTCTAATCATCTGATATGTGTTAACTGATTTAATCATCGCCCCACGAGTAGATGTCATTATCTTCCCAGAGAGGAAAGTGTCACATGGTGACATAGTAAGCAGGGTGACAGGACTCAGATCTATTAAGTCTGAGGCTACTCTCTGGCCACTAAGTTAAACGATCTATTCTAACAAAATAGACATTAAGTATATACATTAAAACTTGAAAGTATCAGTTGTGTTGATTGCTAAGCTATACCCATGTAATTTAGTACTATTTTCTATAGTTCATCATTCTCTCTCAGCAGCATTTTTTAAAAAACAGCACAGAAACAAGTTCTCTCTTTATTAGAACGTCTTTGTCTTTAAATATTCAATAAGCATCACATGACCCAATTATGTAATATATCTAAGGAAATTTTGCTTATCCTTTTCTAATTGGGTCCATTTCATTTGCATTGAAGTCTGCATTAAGGGGAGAAATCACTGTTCCTGTATGATATCCCACTGAAGGAAGTTTTTAAAAAAAACTTTGTTACACTAAGAATTCCTTTGTAAAGTTGAACTGCATTTTCATGCGTTATAATATTAAGGTATAATTCCAGGAAACTAAAGAATAAAAATTTAAAAGCTAATGTGGAGAAGCTGAGGGGGAAATCAGTATCAATTAACTTATAGTTTTATTACTCATATAGAACTTCACATACTATACAGTTAGGGGTATTGTAGAACACGGGTATAATACACTATTACCAATTATTTATTACTCAAATATTATACAGCAATCACAAAATCAGAAAATAACGGATAACAGCCAGTGCCTTAGGGATGATGTAACATCTATACTATTTTATTTAGCAATTAAAGCACTTGCTATTTAATCTTTTCTAAATATTTACACTCTTACACTTATTTTTACATATTCTAAATAACATTTCTCTCCAAAAAGTAGACTCTCCAGCTCTTGGCACTAATTCTCAGTCAAATAAATCTGAAAATACTGACAACCTTTTTATTCTTTTATTGCTCTACCACAGGCATAAAGGCTCAGGAAGGGATTTGTGCATCCTAAAGAAAAGTAGGCAATACCTTAAAATTTTAAATACTAAGTAATTGATACTCACAAGCAGATAACATCAACTAAAACTTTTTTTTACTAGTTTTCCTTTTCTTTTACAAGAGAATAATCATTGTAGTAATATTATACTACAAAAGCATGTAGACTCCATAATTTAAAAAATTAAATGTCAGATATACAAGTAATGTCATTTTCTCCAATAATTCACAATTTTTACAATTTCTGCTATTTTGGAACAAACGTTAAAATTCCCACGATTTAAGTATCATTAAATAAATATGAATTGAAACATTAAGCATCTCAAAGAATTATTAAGAATGGCAGAACTTACAATTAACTATAAATTTTACATTGGTGATAAAGCTCCCCTTTTGTTATTTCTTAAGTAAACATTCTACTATGGTATGTTTTCAAGTGAATAGCTCTGGTGTGAAAAATTTCTTACATTGTGAAGAGCCTTGAGGTTATACAATTTTCTTAAATTTTATAACCTTGAAATGTAGGCTATATCTACCCTAACTTAGAGTATGTATTTTACTACTACTGTTATAAAAGATCATTTTAAACTCATATTAAGATGAGTGGAGTTTAATCCGATTTTGCAAAGGCTTTTATGAAAATCTTAATATGGAAACCTTGTTTTTGAGAACCATGAAACTCTCAAAATCTGCTCTGCAGTATTTTAAATATGGGCCAATTAAAATTCCTGTTGAAAAATGACAAAATGGTTTGATATTCTGAAATAAACACTTTATGATATTGTCACATTGACCAAAGCATAATTAAAGACAGAAGTAACAAGTTCTTTTCATACTTAAAGATTAGTTATTAGTGAGGTCTAAATTTTTTAGAGAAATGTTCATTAGCAGTCAGTTATTAGTAGTGGTTATTTAACTACATAAAATAATACTGTTACAAACTTTGCATTTAGTAGCTAACATGTCATGTCAGTACAATTCCCAGAAACCTATCACTAGTAGTATATGAGCTGCTAGCAAGTGATCTTCCCTGAGGTAAGAGACCATATGCAAAAGTCTGCTAATTTCCAATAAAGTTAGATTCTTAAAAATAATGGCAATAAGGGCCTATGTGGCTGGGAATCACAGATGCATTTCTGATTGATAATCTTAATTGCAAGCAGTAGGCTTGATTGTAACAACCAAACAAAATTATCAGAAGATATAAAGCAAATTTCACAGTCAATAGCATTTGCTAAATTCCTCAGGTCTTTAGCCTAACATTTTCCAATAAAATATCTGAAATACAGTGAAAGGAGGGAAAATGGGCCTTAGACTTACTCTTTAACTAGTTCCTGAGTAACCACTCCCCTGGTGTTCATTATATCCTAGCCCATAATATTTGACAGCATCCTGTTTTCTTCAATTTCAGCCAGTTCCTCATTACCAGTATTCAAGACACACATCACCTTCAACTCTACCTGGACTTTGGGACATCAATTCAAACTTGGTATTATTAATTATAAAATGGATTACAGAAGAAAAAATTATAATTTTACTTCCACTTTCAGTTAAACACTGCAAACAGAATTTAATTATAGTACTGAATTAGAGTTAGAATGTTACCTGTAGGGCTAAGAAAATATTTTAACTGATTTATGATCTCTAGCTTGGACTCAAGGTTGTGGTGATCACAAATGGCAGTACTAAAAAAATAATCACTCTGAAATCATGTATTTGATTATGATAACCATATAGATGGACAAATGATGATAATCAAGAACTTAAATTCTGTTATAAAACTTTTTTGTTAAGCTGATACCTGGTCCACTTCTCAAAAACCATTAATTACCAAAACAAAATTTCAGTGGATTTAAAATAATTTTAGG